TGCCTTTGTCTCTCAAATCGACCTCTGAATGCCTCGTATCTAGACACAATAATTCGATTCAGTTAATAAAAATTATAGGAATTAATTCCATATGAAATTCTACATTTTCCATTAAAAATTCGAAATTGCACTCAAAATTTGCCCGTGGGGCCCACGTCTCAGAACCCGATAAAAATTACGGAATATGAAACCTCATCCAACCACGAATCCAACCATACCAATTTTCCTAAAATCCGATATCAACTCGACCCTCAAATCTTCAAATTAAACCAAGAGGGTTTTCAAGGTTTTCCCAACTAAAATCACCAATTAAATGCCAAAACTAGTACGTAATAGATTCGGGTAATCTAACCAACATTAAGTTAAGAACACTTACCCCGTTGTTTTCTCTGAAAATATCCCGAAAATCGCCTCTCCCCGAGCTCCAATTTGGTAAAAATGAAAAATGGGACAAAGTCCCATTTTCAGAACTCAACATTCTGTCTAGAATTTTCGTGGTTACTGTTCACGCATTTTACTGTTCATGGGTACTGTTCATGGGTACTATATATGAGGTATTGTTCATATGCACTGTACATGGGTACTATACACGGATACTGTTCATGTTTACTGTACATGGATACTGTTCACGCAGCTGCGATTACTGTTCACACGTGCGAAAAATGCAGAAACTGCCCAGAAAATTGCAGCAGCTTTTCTTTTCACTAAAAAGGCTCTAACTCCATCATACGAACTCGGAATTCGATAATTCTTATTCCTATGAGTCAAAAATAATAATACGAACATAGACCTTCAGTCGAAAATCAATTCTGAGCTCATTTGCTCAGTTCAATACCCATTTCGCTCGTTAAACAATTAACTCATGTTTCGTGTCAAAAATCCAATCGCAACTTGATAAAATTAGACCAAACTTTCCATATCAGTCCTATAATTCATTATCAAAATTCCGGAAGTCTCAAAATCAAATTTCGATCTCTAGAACTAAAAATGGACCTTTGGATCATTACATGCTTATGCTCAAAACGACAAAATCTTCCAAAAACTCTTCCAAAACATATCCGAGCCTCATGGGACCCCGACCAAACATGATAACACACCCCATGACATAATTCAAACTTGTTCCAGCCTTTGGAACACTGAAAACAATATTAAAACATCGAATCACCCTCGGATTCAAGCCTAAGAATTTCAAAACTTCCAAAATCCGAATTCGATCAAAAAGTCAACCAAACGACGTCCAAATGACCTGAAATTTTGCACACACATCAGAAATGACATAACGAAGCTACAACAACTCTCGAAATTCCATTCCGACCCTCGGATTAAAATCTCCCCTATCAACCGGAATTCGCCAAAATATTAACTTTGCCAATTCAAGCCAAATCCTTCCACGGACTTCCAAAATGCATTCCGATCGCGCTCCTAAGTCATAAATCACCCAACGAAGCTATCCAAATCATAAAATTTCCAATCCGAGCTCATACACAAATAAATCAACTCTTAGTCAAACCTTTCAAATCAAAGCTTTCAACTAAGACTGTTCCTTCAAATTCATTCTGATTTTTCCTGAAAACCGAAACCAACGATCTACATCAGTCATAATACGTTACACGGGGCAAGTCATGCCCGGGAACTGGTGATCAAAGTGCAAAAGTTCAAAACAACCGGTCAGGTCATTACAATTGCATTTTGGGATGTGTTGGTATCAATGGTTGAAGTCCCGAGGGCCTCGAGTGGATTCTGGATAGTCAACAGATCGAATTTGGATTTAGAGGAAGAGTTGAAGCAGCTGGCAATCTGGTGCGATCACACCTGCATGAAAAGGGCCGCAGGTGTAAGCCCGCAGAAGCGGCCTAGTGGTCGGAGAAGCGAAAAGGGAATGAGGGACTGGGAATCCGCAGGTGCAGAAGATTTTCCGCAGAAGCTGATGTGCACCTACGGGTGAATGGGCACAAAAGAGGAGGAGCTGGCCTTGGGGGAGAGCCACACTTGCGAGGAATCCTCCGTAGAAGCGGAGGCACAGAAGCGGCTAAAGGACCGTAGGTGCGAAGGCCGGGCTGGGCAGTGAGTTTTTTTAAGACGGGATTTGGCCATTTTCTTTCATTCTCTCTTGGTTAGGGGCGATTCTTGGAGAGCTTCAAGTGGAGGTTTTCATCATCAATGGCAAGGTAAGTTATCCCCACCTATTGTGAGTCAAATACAAGGATTTTATATGGATTCAAGAATGAAAATTTGTAGAAATTTGGGATTTTGAAGAAAAACCTAGAAATTGGTATTTTTATATTTTGACCATGAAATTGGGAATAAATTATATATTTGAGTTCGTAATGTTATGAGTAGTATTTATCTTCAAAAAATTTCGAAATCCGAGCACGTGGGCCCAGGGGTGACTTTATCGACTATTCGAGGGGAGTTGGAAATTGTTATAAATTAAATTATAATAAGTATTAGAGTATATATTTATGAATTTGCACATTAATTGACTAGTTTTGGAACGATGAGCATCGGTTTGAGTTGTTGGGGGAAAAGCTTTGGAGTCGGTTATGGAACTTCGAAGCGAGGTAAGTCTCTTTTCTAACATTATAAGAGGGAATTAACCCCGTAGGTGAATTGAATTAATATGAGCTTCTATTTGTGGGGGCTACGTACGCACAAGGTGATGAGAGTCCGTACATAACTACTAATTATGCTTATGTTCGGGTAATCTTAGGTTTACACCATGCCTTGTTGGTACTATTATTTGATTATGCTTATTATTTGCCTTGAAAAGTGTTAAGATTGAGGATTTCGAGATTTAAAAGTTTTCAGTTTGAATTTCTTATTTTTTAAAAGAATTGAGGAATATTATGACAACTTTGAGAAATCTATATTCACTCGCATCGCAAGTATATTCCGCGAGCTAGGTAAATTCCATTACTTTCATGGGAGCGGGTCGTTCGCCTCGGCAGGTTAATAGATGCATCTATGGTTCGTGCCATTCGACCCTCGATAGTGCACATTTTATATATTTGTATGTTGGATCGGATTGTACGACCTCGGCATACTTCGTGCTAAGAATTCTTGAAGTCCAATTATAATTGATATTGTTTCATTGGCTTGAGAGATTAATTTGTTAAATGATGGAAATTAATTTGGGATTTATCATTAGTGAAAAAATTGTTTATGTATTTTTTGTTATTGAATTTTCAGCTGTATTTATATAATCCATGCTTAATTATAATTTCGGTACTTTATTGTTAGCCCATGGTAAGTGTCGAAGTCGACCCCTCGTCACTACTTCTTCGAGGTTAGACTAGATACTTACTAGGTACGCGTTGATTTACGTACTCATGCTAACTTGCTGCATATTTTGTGCAGGTACATATATGTTTAGTGGTCTTGTGGGCATAGAGGCACGACTATTGCGGGGACTTACGCTGAGCTGCATTCCATGTATGGATCCACAAATATAGAGTCCCATCAGAGTTATTTACATTCTCCTGTCTAATTTGTATTCTAGACAGGTGTTGTATGCTATCATATTTCCTAGTTGATGCTCATGCACTTATGACACTAGGTCTTGGGAGTTCCTACTGGATGTTTAGTATGGTAGTTCACATAATTATCATTGTTTCACCTTGTAAATTCTATTTCGTATTATTTATTCGATGGAAATTATGATTTCAAAAATAATAAAAATAAGTAATTAAGTGGATCAATCTACGTTGCCTTGCCTGACGGCGACGTTAGGAGCCATCACGACCTATAGTGGATTTTGGGTCGTGACAAGTACAATATTTATATATTTTGGTTTGGTATTTTCGGTATTCAGTTTCTTAAAATGCTATACCAATACCATACCTAATTAAATTCGGTATGGTTCGGCTTTTCACGTTTCGATTTTTGTTTATTCGGTCTGGTAACTTCGGTTTGATCGACTAGAATATTAACTAGTGTATAAAGCCATAGATTGCAGTATTCTTAAGTAAGATACTCACATATACAAAAAATAAGAGTATTATAATATATAGTAAAAAGAACGAAGGAAAAAAATTGCTAAACCTAGATGGGGAAGGTTGAAACGTAAGTAAGCAACCAAAGAAAAGAGGGGAAAGACAAGTACATTGGAAAAAAAGCGATAAAGGTTAAGGAAAACTGTAAAAGTAATAGAAAGTAAAATTTGAAACTTTAATATTTACTATGTTATAATCAATAATATGTAACTTAGTATATATTTTGGTATAGTATCAGTATTTCAGTATTTTATTTTTAAATACCAAATATTATACCTAATACCATTTTTAAAAAAAACTTAAACAAAATACCATATCAAATATCAAAATATCGAATATCAAATATCAAATTTTTCACGTGGTAATTCGATATTAGGAGCTATTCCTATTTCAAAGTAGTGCAACAAATTTCCAAACATTTAAATTATCTCATATTATTTACATCCTATGTAATTAGATATATTTTAATGGTCACAACTCATAATCACCACTATTTATTCAATTAATCTCTCAATAAAACTATTAATTCTGAATCAATCATTTCGAAAATAGCATCAAATGATTTGAAAAGTAAAGCTAAAAGTATAAAAAGGTTTTATATCCCGATTTTAGCCATCTGGACAATATTTAGCATTTTTCTAAATATCTTGGGAAAGAAATGTTAGTTCCAAATAAAAACTTTGCTTAGAAGAACACATTAAAACCACTTATTAACTTTTTTGAATAAACGTTTAGCTAAAACCTGTTGCAATTCTTTTCTTAAATGAATACGTTTGTTTGAATTATTTAAGCTACACTTACAAGCAATAATTTTTTTATATTATTAATACAGTTTAATTTGTTATAATATATTATTATTATTATTATTATTATTATTATTATTATTATATTTCTCATACTAGCATATAAACCTTTTAAAATCTTTGCAAAGATACCAATGATTTTTCCACAAATAAAGTTTCGTTCCATATAAAGATACAAACGCAATTGCATAACGTACAATACTTACGTAGCACATAATGCTCTGTCTAAAATAAAAGTTCATCTGACAAATATCACATCGTTGATTTTCCTGAAACTCACCGTTTGCGCGTGTCAACGGCAGAGCTAACACCACCTCCCTCAGCCACCATCGGCGGCGACTTCATTATAATCTCCGTGATCCTCTCGGATTCCGTAAGCATCTCCTTTTATCTGGACAACTCACTGTAAATTGGAAGATTCTAGAATCAAAGTCTATTGGCGACTCTATTGTTTCAGTAGTAATAATGATTTTCTTTTCTATTCCTTTTTGCTTAAATTTCGGTTTATTTGTACTGGAAAGTCTGATAGGTGACTAAGTTGCTATAAAAGTAGTTTGCAATTAATTTTACTTTTAATTTTTGTGTTAATTAATCACCTTCTAATTGTCGACTATATTGTTCTGGAAGTAATTGCGATTTTGCTCGTTCATCTATTTATCTCCTTGGGTGAATTCAGATCGTTTCCTTTAGAACTAGCGTCTCATTGGTGACTGTATTGCTCGTAGAAGCAGTTATGAATTTGCTTTAGTGCTACTTTTTCGTTTTTTCTGTCTCATGAATTTGGTTCATTGTGCTCTATAAACATAAAACATAGACAAACTATGAGAAGAGGGAGCATGGGGCTTATAGGGGGAGTTGGATATTATGTGGAAGGAAATGTTATGTTGCATTTAAAAAGTTGCACGTGAAGTGTTAGGTTTGTCTAAAAGTTTAGGTGATCCTGGTGGTGGAATGAGGAGGTGCAAAGAATTATTAGTGCTAAAAGAGAGTGCTATAAGCAGTTACGAAAAGCAGAAGAGGGAGAAGCCTTTGAAGAGTATAAGAGATCTAGGAGCGAAGCTAAGAAGGTGATTAGTAAAGCTCGAGTGGAAGCCCTAGGTGACTTGTACCAAAATCTAGGAACAAGAAAAAGAGAGAAAGAAATGTTTAAACTAGCGCAATGAGGAGAGAAAAAGAGTAAGGATTTAAATCAAGTGAAGTGTATTGAAGACTGATTCTCTGAAGTTTTGAAAAGGTATAGTGCACGATGGGACTTTTGCTATACTCAATAGAATTAGACGACAGAGAAAAAGGATGCTATGAAAATTATGAAGATGAGAAATGCTTGTGGTTCAAATAGTATTCACGTAGAGGTTTGGAAGTGTCTCGGAGGGTTTCGAATGGGTGACTTATCAAGCTATTTAATGCTATACTAGGAAGTCATACGATGCCCAATGAGTAGACTTTCTAATTTATTAGAAATAAGGAGATATTCAAAGTTGTGTGGACTATCGTGACATTAAATTTTATGAGTCATATGATGATACTTTGGGGAAGAGTGATAGAACATAGACTTAGGGATACTACAGGAGTGACTGAGAATTAATTTGGATTTATGCCCGGTAGATCTACAACAAAGGCTGTATTCTTGCTAAGAAGATTGGTGAAAAACTAAAAATTTATTGCGAGAGGAAGAAAGATCTACACATGGTGTTTATTTACCCGAAGAACATATGATATGGTACCAAGAAAGACTCTTTGCTGGGTGTTGGAGAAGAAAAAATTCATGTTAAATATATAAATGCCATAAATGACATGTGCGAAGGAGGCATCACTAGCATGAGAACAGTAGTAGGCGATACAAAAGATTTCTCCATAATTGTGGGTTTACGCTAATGATCAACATTTATTGCTTATAAGCAATACACTAAAGATCGATATTGAGCCCCTACTTATTTATCCTAGTTATGGACGAGCTATCTAAAGGTCCCATAACATGGTATTTGTTGATGATATTGTGTTAGTTGACGGAATCAGTGATGATGTCAACCAAAAACTTGACTATAGAAAAACATTCTAGAGATTAAGGCTTTTAGGATTAGTAGAAGTAAGATTGATATGAGCTGCAAGTTTACTTTGCATAAGTAGAGTGACTGTGATGTGAGATTAGATGGTATTCTAGTGCCTAAATGCAATTGAGTATCAAGTGAGAGAAGATCGCTTGAGATAGCTGGTCATATCATCCGTTGACCTCTAGATACACTGGTCATAAGTGTGAAAACATGGCGAATTAATGTGTTAAAAAGGGACGAGGTAGACCTAAGATCACATGGAAAGAAATTGTCTCGAAAGACCTACAATCTCTTGGAATCAATGCAGATTTAGCGAAAGACATGGCATAATAATAAAAAATATTTATATAGGCGATACCAATTAGTTGAGAATATGTATTGGTCATGTCAATACATTTACATTAGGTCCTATGCTTTCTAGGAGTCTTTTAGCCCCATTAGAGATTCTTATGTTATGAGGAAATATAGAGAAATTCTAGTACTTTTTATTTTGTATAATGTTAATTTGAGATGAGTTTAAATGAGAAAACATGGTCGGTGACGATTCATTAACATATCAATAACTGATCCCCAATTTGGATGTTATGAGTTCTAAGTTGGAGTTTCTGTGTCCCCCAAAAAAGGGAACCCATAAAGAACAAAAAGGAGTGTACATTGTGGGACTCAAACCCAAGTATTACTGCTTAATACCATTCAAACTTAAAGGCCTATTGAACTGGGTCCACAACTGAAACGTAGTCTGATCGGCGACTCTATTGCTATAGAAATATTGTGTCATGTTATAGATTTACTCAACATTCTTTTGTCTTTTTTGTATGTGGTTGTTTGCCCTAGAATTATTGTCTGATTGGCAATTTGTGTTGTCGTAAGAGCACAAATTGGTTGTAGAATCACAATTTATCATTGTTCTTGAAGTAGTACCATTTCAATTTTGTGAGACTTGTGAGTTACACAACTTGGGTAGGCCAAGGATTCTTGTAGAGCAATAATAATTAATGATATCATGAGCTAGGTGATTCCCTCCCATCCACTAAAGTCTTAGAGAGCAGAGTTACCATAGTAAGGTATCTGTAGTGGTGGAGATAGTAGATATCTACCAGAATAGTCAAGGTGCACCCTAGCGGACACGACACCGCCATTATAAAGAGTGATATCATGAGCTGAGCTGAATGCATGGTTAGTTGGTTATATGCTATTAGGGTGTGCTTTGGGCAGGGATGGTTTCAAGATAAAAAGTCATCTAAACCTTAAAGGTATGCTATAAGATTCGTCTATGTTCGATTCGACCCCACATTTCAGTATGATAAAGAAATGGACATTTGGCCTAACTCAATCCTAAAAGTTAGCTCATGAGGTGAGGATTCTCCAAGACTATATAAAGAAACCTTCCCTTCCCTTGATGACCTATGTGGAACTCAACACCCCCTGCACAGCGGACGCCGTGGATTGGGCATCTGGAGCATGAACAATATAAGATGGGGGGCCAGTATCAGTAAATGAATTGGGATGGGCGTGACTTAATACCATGTTAAAGAAATAGACCTTGGGCCTACCTCAACCACAAAAGTTAGCTCATGAGGTGAGGATTGTCCAAGACCATATAAGGAGACCTATTTATATTTTTCCACTCGATGTGGGACTCAACACCCACTCCCACGCCCAAGGTTGGGCATCTGGAGCGTGAATAGTAATGGGGCCCAACATTGGGTAAATTGGAATGGACATGAGCTCTGATACCATGATAAAGAAATGGACCTTGGGCCTAGCTCAACTCCAAAAGCTAGCTTATGAGGGAGGTGAGGATTGCCCAAGACCATATAAAAGAGACCTTTCCATCCCTTGATGGCCGATGTGGGACTCAACACAATACCTTTAAATAATTTTTTTTTTAAGGAAAATTAAATAAACTTTAGAATTTGAGGTTCTCTAAATCTCACACTTATGTCACATTGACATAAAATTTCTGATTAAACTAAAAGGAGGCTAAAGGAACACTCGGAAAACATTGGACATATTGTATGTTAAACTACTAAGTTTTAATCCCAACAAGTTGATATCGCTTGTATAAGAAATTTTCTTTCGTTATGTTTTATTTTTAACGAGACGAAGAAGCACCGGTTCCATGAAAGTTTACGTTTTTTGAGACAACTTCCTTCCATATGATTTTAGGTATACTCATATCCTTCTAGTGCCTCCAATTATCAACCTTTCAGTAATCTGGAGGAGAGATATACCAAAAAGTAGAGAATTTACAATAAAACACGATTCTCTACGAAAGACACCAATTATCTAATACAAATATGAATCTCATGCGTGCACCAAAGAGCAATCAAAGACAATAGGCTATTCCGAAATGTTCAAAATCATGCATTATGTCTGTTGTTAAAAGATAAAATCCTACATATCTGTCTATCGGACTCCTAAGGGGATGGTCTCATGCTGACCATTATCTTTGAGCAGCAATTCTTGTTCTGATAATGTTTGGCTTTGGATGAGTCAGATTTTCTGGTCTTTATTGTTTTCTGATCATTGTCCAGTTTCTTCCGTAAGTCCTTATTGTTTTTGTTATGTAGTTGTTAACCTTATCAGTTTTATCAATCTTGCAGGTGTACTTCTAATTCTTTAGTAATGAATAGACCCATCTGACGCTAAATGTGCTTTAACCTCAAAATCAGCAGCTATTACATGAAAACGTGCATATAAGTCAACAATGAAGCGTTATGTTTATATTGACGATGATGATTTGTCAAACAATGTTTACTGTGACAACCGTATCTCGAACAGAAAATATACCGTATGGAATTTTCTTCCAAAGAACTTGTGGGAACAATTCAGGTAACTTTTTTAATTTGTTTCATAAAATTTTTGCATTCTATTCTATATTGCGTCAGTGAACATGTAGATTTGACATTTTGGGTTTCTCACGAATGTTTTGCTATCATGCAACATTGTGATTTAGTGCGCCAATTAATTCATTTGTGCTTGTTTCATTACATTATCAATTTTATTTTTAACCTTCTTTGGGGTCTGTTATTATCCTATTCGTTGTTGTCTAGATTGTTTCTTGCATCGAACTTTGTAAAAGGAACCAACTCTTTCTTAATTTGTTGTGAGCTTGAATTTCTAAATCTATCTCTCCCTTTTCCTAACAGCTTTATCTTTTTTGTTTCCAGCCGATTTATGAACCAGTACTTTTTGTTGATTGCTTGCCTTCAACTATGGTCACTCATCACTCCAGTAAATCCTGCTAGTACATGGGGCCCTCTCATCTTTATATTTGCAGTCTCAGCAACAAAGGAGGCATGGGATGATTACAATAGATATCTTTCGGACAAGAAAGCTAATGAGAAAGAAGTTTGGGTTGTGCGGAAGGGCACCAGAAAACATGTATAACATTAGTGTCTACATTTTTCATTACATTTTTATTCTCTTATATCAGAAAGTTCATTTCTTATTTGATTTAATTCAACTTTGGATTTGTCTGATTTCTTTCACCTATTCTGTCCCGAATTGAACATACCCCCAAAAGTTACGTGGTCAAACTTTAGTTTCTTAATACGACCTTCCATTGTTCTTTTCCACTAAGTTGAAAAGTTAATGTGCAGCTTCTCGTATAACACCCTTCGTAGTCAGAATATGATTTTTACTTTTGGCTTGAGCGAGTATCTTGACTCACTTTTACGTATTCTATTTCATCATCTCTGTAATTATTTTCTTGTTTATTGTTTCACCAGAATTCTGATACTGATTAAATGTCTACTTTACTTGTATTTCCTTGTAGATTCAAGCCCAAGACGTTTGTGTTGGTAACATAGTATGGCTTCGTGAAAATGATGAAGTGCCTTGTGATCTGGTCTTGATTGGTACATCTGATCCACAAGGTCTTTGTTACGTGGAGGTAAATCATTATGCCTTCATCAAAGTTTTTCTGTTGTAGAAGATTATGTTGCACCTCTTCCTCTTTACCTGAAGTACTAAGCAGACGTGTTAGGATCTGAAGGTTGTCGTTAGTTAGGATAAAGCATGGTTGTTATTGCTTGGAAGGGTATCACAAGAGTCATGAGATTCTTGAGAAAAATTATACTTGATGTTTTAGACTTATCTTTCTTTTTTATAAGGTAAATACTCTTATTAATAATGGGAAAATCACCCGTATACAAGTAGTATACAAAAAATGTAGAGATCAACAACATAATATATTTCTACAAACAACACCCAATCTTCTATACACACTGGAGCTTCATGGATGCACCAAAAAGTAACCAGAAATGAGGATAGTCCTCAAGCGCATTGTTCTCTATCCCATCAAATGTTCTCCTATTCTTTTCCTTCCACAGGATCCACATGAGTGCTAGTCGCTCAACATCCATGCTCTTCGACTTCTCTTTCTTCTTCTGAATTTTCCGTTGGAGAGTACATCCGTAACTGTGCCCAGATCAACCATTGGATCCAAACCATCTCAAAATCTCACACCACAAGCAAGCTGCCAATCGACAATGTAGTGGTAGGTGATTCACATCTTGACCTGAACTTTTGCACATGAATCACCACCTGACATATGTAATCCACCTTTTTTCCAAATTATGTGCTGTCAATATAGCTCCTCTCACTGCTATCCAAGTGAAAAAGCATACCTTTTTTGGTGCTCTGGGAATTCAAATGGATAAGTGTGAAAAATTTGGCTCCACGTCACCAAGAGCTTATGATAATATAACTTTATTGAAAACTTGGTGCATGCAAATTGTGGATGCTCCAATGTAAACAACGGGACTAAATCAAAACACTTCTTACTTGCATCTTTTACTGATGGATGTGCTCTATTTGATTTTAATTATTTATTAATAGATTTGCTGGCTTTTTCCTGATGGATGACCCTATGCTTTTCAGTCTTCTGGAATAATACACTTTGATGGTCACCTCTATTCAAACTGACTTATAGGACATTTTTTATTGCTATATCATATTACAGACAGCTGCCCTTGATGGTGAAACTGATCTTAAGACAAGGGTGGTTGCCTCTGCTTGTATGGGAATAGATTCCGAATTGTTGCACAAAATCAAGGTAAATAATACTGCTTTCTATTGCAGGGAAATAATCTGTTAGTATTCGTTCTGGTGAAAGTTTCTTTTAGTGTATTCTACATGTTGATGTTCTTCTACAGGGTGTAATTGAGTGTCCCATTCCGGATAAAGACATCAGAAGATTTGATGCAAATATGAGGCTATTTCCGCCGTTCTTGGACAATGATGTATGCCCTTTGACCATTAAAAATACAATTCTCCAATCATGCTATTTGAGGAACACAGAATGGGCATGTGGTGTTGCTGTTTATACAGGCAAGTTTTCATGTGAAGAAAAAATAGAATGAGGGAACATTATTGATGAAAGCATAATTTGCTATCAGATACTGCAAGTTAGTGATGTTTGATAGAAGAATTAATAGGATACCAATATGCGTATTTTTTAAGCTTGGTGATATTTCTTCTAATTAACACCAAGCTGACAGATGACTAATAGGAGGGGAATTGGTCCAAGTTTCTTGGATGTATTACAGGACCATGGTTGGGGTTGTCTCATAGCTGCTTATATGCGCATGATTTTATCGTGATGACCAAATATCGATATTCGTTATGTTTTATGATCTTTTTTTCCTTTTTGTGTCCCTCTAAACTCATTATTTGTGCAAGAAATAGTTTTCCGTAAGCTACTGCAATTTAGTGAAGTTTGGCAGAAGAAGTAAGAGGATACTCATCACCTAGCTTATTTTTGATGAATATAAGGGAAATTTGTGCAATCGTAGATTTAAGTAGATCAGAGGTTTGTGTGATTTTTAGAAGTCCCCTTAAATTCTGACAATCTAGAGGGGATGTCAACTTAATGTAATTTGGGTGCAACCTCAACTTTTCTGCACTGAAACATATCCTGATTCATGTGTTTTGAAGTGTCCACTAACTTGGTCCTGTATCAGAACTGAAATTTGGTTTTTCTATCATCCCACTTCTTCTCCTGCATAATCACGTTTGTCATGTGAAAATCATTTAATATAAATATTTGATGGACAAAATGAAAGTAGTTTTCCAATTAAACGCAGGCAGATTTTGTAAGTTTTGGTACCGAAAATGCGATACTTTGTTCATCTTTAGAGATACAGATTTATAGAAAGAGAAAAAACAAACTAGAGAAACTATCCCTTGACTTTTGTCAAATTGATTTTCCTGCTTGTTTCCTAATTTTATTGTCAAATCAATAAATGTTTCAGCTGACCGACACCCACACACCCTGTCTCTTTCAGAAATCTAGCACGTACTTCCTTTGTGACACCATAATGCCTTCTTTTCATTAAGGGGCCTCCAGGCCCAAAAAAATACTTCAAATAACCCAAATCTTTGATCATAGACTCCGAAGCTAACTGATCTCTTAAATTCTTCAGTTCTGGCAAGTTATCTTCTGTAAGTATGATCTCATCAACATACACTATCAGGATAGTTGTCTTTCCCTCAAGTGAATGTCGAATGAACACATGGTATGATCTACTTGCCCTTGAATATACCCTTGTTTTTTAATAAATTGAGTAAACCTCTCAAACCAAACTCTTGGAGACTGTTTGAGCCCGTAGAGATTTCTTTAGCTTGCACACTCTAGTTCCATACCTTTCTTTAAAGCCCAGAGGAGGATCCATGTAAACCTCTTCTTGAAGTTATCCATTCAATAATGCATTCTTCATGTCTAGCTATTCAACAGGCCAATCAAGGTTGGCAGCGATGGTCAGAATTTATTTATTCATTTGTTCTTTTTCCCTTTTTATTTTCTTGCAGTCTGTTGAAAATCAGTTCAATTGCCCTACGCACTTTTAATATTCAGTTATCTTCTTGTCATACGCAGGGAAATGATTTCTCTAAGATTAATTTTCTGAATTGCCCAACTTGTTTCTATTATTTTCCTGTCCTCATAAAGTTCTAAAGTATGAACTAATGCTATCATCTTACTTATAAGCTATGATAACCTTAGGTGCCTCATTTTTCTTCCTTCGTGAAGTATATTCATGACCTCTCTCTCTTTCTTTCAGGGAATGAAACAAAGCTTGGCATGAGTAGGGGCATACCAGAACCAAAGCTTACAGCCATGGATGCCATGATTGACAAGTTGACAGGCGCAATATTTGTTTTTCAGATAGTCGTTGTTATTGTTCTGGGTATTGCTGGGAATGTCTGGAAAGATACAGAAGCGCGCAAGGTTTGCATCATATAAAACATGTTAATGATATTATTTTTAAAATTTTGAGTTAATATTCAAGTATATGTAGGGAGTTATTGAACCTATACTGGTTAAAAGTCCTTCATGCTGTAATTGTAAAACAGAATTATGTTGTGACCTCTTTATATTTTACTTTTTATGGGTAAACCTTGTTAATTATCTACATTGTTGAAGTATGTGACCATCTGATCTAAAACTTAAGCTATTAAAGAGACCACAATGTAATTTACATAATTATGCCTTC